GAGAAGGCCATTTCTGAAAATCATAAATCGCATAGCCATGGGTGTAGTCACCGTTTTTCATTTCTTTCACTGAAATCAGATTCTTTTCTCCTTTCACCCTGTATATTTTGTTATATTGCTTTATCCTTCTTCCATTGACCTCCAGAAAAGATGGGAACAGTTCTTCCCTATATTCAGCTCAAGTGGAATTCTGGAGAAAAAATTCAAGAATGGCAAGACTTTTGAAATAACAATATTATTTTTGTTCCAATGGCAAATCGAAGAGAAATCACGAAAACCACCCGAGATGAATTCCCAATGTATTATGATATGACTGACTTTTAATCAGGAAAAAATGTTGAGTTTTGGCAGCATCTTAAATGTTGACCAAGAGTTAATGGCACCCCTTTACACCCTGTGTAAATTTCGTTCTGCGGACTCTTTCACAGTGCTGTAGTGCCTCAGAAGTTGATGAAATATCACATCTGATAGCAAACACCGCATGTGAATCGGTCAATTTCATCAAAAAATGCAGGTCGTGGAAAAGACGGGTTTTTATGAGTGTCTGATATATCAGGACATGTCAAAATCACCTTTTTCATAATTTCAAGTTGATTTGTAATCACCTCGATCGAAAAAAATTGCACTAGCTCTTCAAATAAAAGAGGGAGGGAGGATGGATAGCGCCATGAAAAAACTCTTATTACCACAGTTTGTTGTAACTGTATTCAACGAACTTGGTCTCATTATGAAAGGTTTCCTCAGTTATTTCAGATAAATTACGAATCGCGTCGATTTGAATCCCGTGGTGGCCGTTAGATGTCACCGTTTGAAAAATCAGACAATTTTTAATTTTTTTCTCGAGAACTTCAAATTGAAATAGGTATACATTTTTCGCACGATAATATGAAAGTACAGCAAACGAGAAAACCGCAAGTTGATACCTCTTGAGAAACCGTAGAAATAATCGGAGTAATATTGGAAAATATTAATTGAATAGTTACTGAAATAATTAGTAGCACTAGGGTCTATCTAGATGCTCAAATAATTGTTTTCCTTAATTTTTCATACAAGAATTGAGCATCCATCTAGTGAATAAAACTGCAGCTTCCACTTGGGAGTTGGCATGCTTTCGTTGACAGTTCTGATTCTATTGATCAAGTCGTCCGTAGTTGTTGGTCGGGTTCGAAAAACAATATATTTCATTCGTTCCCATAAATAAAAATCTAAACAAGTCAGATCTGGGGACCTAGCAGGCTGCTCAAGTCTTAACTGCACAGGACTACGATAGAAGACAAGATTTTTGTCACTGGATCCTTAATGTGTTGAGAGATGATCCCTGGTATTATGTGATATTTTATGGACAGATTGGGTATAGTTCAAAAGCGATGGAGGAGTTAGTTTGCATAACATGCACTATTGGTCCCAGAATAATCCTCATCGGATGTAGGAAGTTATCAAGGTGTTTGGTGCGAAATTATTGGCGGAAAAATCATAGGACCTTATATTTTCAATGAAACTCAATGGAATTATTTATCTCAATTGCTTGCGTGATCAAATACCTCCTCTGCTGAAAGATGTAGACTAAAAAAAAAAGAAGAACTTTTTCTTTCCAACGTACCCATCATGCCCGGCTATTTTGCTATTAATGTGCGAAATTATTCAGATTTAAGATATCCTGGCAAGTGGATTGAAAGGGGTAGCATGTTGAGGTGGCCAGCTATAGGTCTCCAGATCTGACTTGTTATTTTTTTATTTTTGGGGAAGATTGAGATATATTATGATCTCTCAACCCCGACCAACAACCAAGGACGATATGATCAGAACTGCGATCGAAAGAATGCCAAAGCCCGAAAGGGATGCTGCAGTTTTATCCACTCGACAGATACTCAATTCATGTATTGAAATGATGAAAGATAATTTGAGCAACTAGGGAGACACTAATGCTACTAATTATTTCAGTACATAAATTTCATTTATATTTTCTGATATTATTTCGATTATTTATCCGGATTCTCAAGAGGTATTTACTTTCGGTTTTTACAATTTTTCTTCTCGGTTGTTCTAATTTCATATTAGCGTAAGGAAAATATATGCTTACATTTGAAATTCTCGAGAAAAAATGAAAAATTTTCTGATTTTTCAAACGATGCCATCTGGCGGCCACCACGGGATTTTAATCGACTCGCTTCGTGATATATCTGCAAGAACTGAAAAAACCAAGACCAAGTTCGTTGAATAGTGTTACACCAAACTGTAGTAATGAGGGTTTTTCCATGGCGCCAGTCATCTTCCCCTCCTCCTTTTATTCGAAGAGCTAGCACATTTTTTTCGATCGAGATGATTGGAAATCAACTCTAGATTATGAAGTGTTTTTGACATGTTTTGATATATCAGATTCCGAGGCATATTCTCATATAAACCCGTTTTTCAAACTGGCGATTGCAATTACGACCTCTAGCGGCCGTCCTGGACATTTGTAAATAATTTCCAGAGATTTCTCTCAGCCATTTTTATTAAAAATATTTGTTTCCTAAACCTGTGCGGCAAATGGTTTCCGAGATACAGCCGGTGTCCTTTTTTAGTGGTACATCCGGTACGCGATTTTACTAAATATACTGCACGCTAGCACAAACCACGCCCACCATAATACGTCATATCTCCAAACATTACCGATATACTCGGAGTCAGCACATCGCACTAAATATACTGTGCTCCAACGCAAGAATACACTTTTTATGATTTTGACACGAATTCGACTGAAGCTCTCTCGTTGTCAATCTCTTGTACGCAGTAAATTCATACACCCAAATGGTCTACTGGTTAGCGCTGTCGACTTTCAGTCTGAAGGTCCATGGTTCGAATCGCTGTGAACTCGAACTTTTTTTTGCAACTTTTTTTTTTCACCAATGTTTTTTTACTTCATTCTGGTTTTCCTTTTTCATAAAATATTTGAAGTCAAATAGGTTAGTGCGTTTAGGATAAACAGTCTCATTTTATTCAATTTTGTTGAAGAACTCAACTTTTGAAATATATTATTAATCAATGTGTTTCTACACTACATTCGGTTTTCCTTCCTCAAAAATATTGCAATCAGGGATAGGTTAGTTCGTTGAGGATAAATAGTCTCTGAGTTTTGCATAAGTAAAGTACTTTGAAGATGAGATATAACGGTGGGCGTGGTATGTGCTAGCGTACAGTATATTTAGTAAAATCGCATCCGGTACATAACGGTTTCGGTCTCAGGGAATTGGTCTCTCTCCCACCCGTCTACCGAGTCATATTGACCATTGGTTTCACCATTGTTTGGTTAATCTAATAAACCTTTTCGGGGTTTATTTCCCATGATTTGCAGCTTAACCTTCTTGAATTGCACAGAGAAAATCTGGTAGGTTTATAGTATTCTCCATATTGGGGGATCATCGTCAAGTAGCTTATTTACAGTGGCCGTAACGGCCTGCTGTAACAAACAAAGCTGTTTGTTCAACTACTGAGAATCTGATTATGCCCCCCTCGACTTTACATTGCAGCTGTAAACGGAACTTGTCTATTTGTTTCAGGTTTGTACTAAATACGAGATATTTTTCACATTATAGGTTGTTTCGAAATTCGACCGACAACGCTTGACAGGTGATAGCCCTCGTGATTTCATAATTACTTAGATAGGGACATACGGTCTTCAAGTGTTCAGTTCATGAGATACAGGGTGTTGAAGGTAAAAACATAGCTTTTTCGCAATGACTCAAGAATGATTGAATATTTTGCATTCAAATTCGGTATATGGTTTCATCTTTGAATGAGTGATTTTTTTCCAGAAATTCATTCCGAACATTTAATTCAGTCGTGCGTTTCCTCCCATATTTTCGACGCCACTGATGAGATTTTCATCATTTCATTGTTCAATTTTGTTCAACAAATGCATCACCTTCAACTGAGCTATAATGAGCAGTCCCCAAGATATTCGACCAAAAAAAAAATTTGCATAATAATTTTTCATCATTTTCAGTAGTTGAAAATTACAAAAATGATTGTTTTTTCTTGCTGCATGAAATAACTATCTCCATTCTGCTACAGAATGAGATCTTGAAAGTATCTAGTCCTCTCACCACCAGAAACATATTTTTGTAACGTTCTACTACTGAAAATCATGAAAAATTTATTTGCTTCTATTTTGGGCAAAATTTCTCAAAAGTTTTTCATTTGGTAACAAAATTGAATAATGAATTCGAGAAATTGAAAATAATAAAAATCCCATCAGTGGCGTAGGAAATATGGGAGGAAAAGTTACCACAATTCCCTGTAGCTCACCACTGGATGAAATATTCGGAATTTATTTCTGAAAAAAAATTAACCATTAAAGATGAAACCATATACCGACTTTGAATGCAAAATATTCAATCATTGTTGAGTAATGAGGGCTAACATAATTTATTGCCCACCAAATCGCGACACTTGAACGTGAAGTCAGAGTTGGTAGAACGAATGAATATACTTCATCCTTTCCCGTCATTTGGCTTCTTCCTACGATATCTTCTTCTTCATTAATGTAAGAATCGAACCACATTGAGGAAAAAAACGTAAGTCTGTTCAAGTAGTTCTATGACTTGAGGATTTCAATATTCTACAACATTTTTTCGAATATTTTCGATAAAAACAGGCCATAGTTTTGAGGGCTATCCGGGAAAAGTTGGAACTTTTGACTTTGATATTGACCTCGCGTTTTAGTAGCGTTAACTGCTGAGAAATGTTCAACAACATGTATATCGAGAACTGAACACAGGGAGACCGACGATCTCAGTAATTATGAAATCATGAGGGTTATCACCTGTCAAGCATTGTCGAATTTCGAAACACCATGTAGTATCCTGCATCCACTAAATTTGAGGTTGGACAAAAGATATTTTTTGTGTTCTAAGTATTTGTGGACCCTATTATTGAGAATTTCGCGGTCTCTGCTTACAAGACTCCTGAGAGTAAAAAGTAGAGAACAAATCAAGAATATGCATCGGATATATTTTCAGCAAACATCCAGATAATTGGTATGAGTGCAACAATAGGAAATCTGCCAGATATATGTGAATTTCTCAATGCTGAAGCGTACACAAAAAATTTCCGGCCTGTCGAGTTATCTGAATACGTGAAATGTGGAAATGAGATTGCAAAAATAAACTGGAATTATACCAATGAGGATGATATTTTGATAGAACCAAGAAAAATGGATTACAAGGTAAGGGAGTTATCAGCTGAAGTGTAGTTAATAATTTTCTGAGAAAATGGGTAGTTTGTTTTATTAATAACAAATGTGGTGAAAGTATAGTCCTTTTCATCTGTCAGGTATCGCGTCAGTGGATCATATTTCTCAAAAAAATATATATTTCACTGATTCACTCTGACGTTCTCGCGTTTTCATTAGGCTAATAACCAACACACCCATGTGATTCATCTCGCCAACCAATGAGATGCAATATTTTATGTTTTCTCTTGCACTTATCGGTGTCATCAATAAAAATAATATTCCTAAAGGTTTCCCGTAAACCGTCGGCAATCCACTAGATGTGAATAGACCACAAACAATATAGATATTCGCCCTTCATGGGTTTATATTTTTTATAACTGTTTGGGAACATTCAGAAAATTCATTTTTTTCCAAATTACACTAAGTGTGGCAATTACACTCAACAGGCAGAAAAGGTGTACTTTCTCTGCCGAGGCAGAAAAAGTTTGTTGCCATGCAACGTTCCAAGGGAGGTTCCAAGAAGACAAAACGACAAAATAACGGAGTCAGTGTTGTGGAGTGTTGTTTCGTCTTCCACCAAGTGTTGCCTATCTTGTACACTTTTTTCACCGCACTGATGAGGGCCGAAAGCCCGAAACACGTGTCTACGGTTATATTTTTATGAGGGCTTTGTCCACTATTTTCTTCTACGTTGTTAACAACATTCCCCTCAATATTCTCTTCATCATGTTTGTAATCCTGGACTCGGTTGTCACGCAGGTAGCTATAGCTGCTTCCGTGGTGACGTTAGTTGTTTCCCTGAATACTCGGAGTCTTCTGACCGAAACCACAATTGTGCGACTGGCTTCTGTTTGTTGACTCCGTTATTTTGTTGTTTCGTCTTCCACCAAGTGTTGCCTATCTTTTGCACTTTTTTCACCGTACAGATGAGGGCCGAAAGCCCGAAGTACGTGTCTACGGTTATTTTTAATTTATATATACATGTTGGTAATATATCTTTTATTTTCAGTACTCTGAGAAAATCTTGAAAATGGATCCTGATATGTTGGGTGGCCTTGTGACTGACATAGTACCGAAAGGTTCCTGTTTAGTATTTTGTGCATCAAAGAAGAACTGTGAAAATGTTGCGAACCTATTGTGTAAATTATGCAGACCGTAAGTATGGTTCCGTAAATATCAAAAATAAAAATGCAGGTACTCATCATATTTCAGAGAATTGAAAAACTATAAAATGGCTGAGAAAGAACAACTTCTACATGCATTAAAAGATGAAGGCGGGGAACTGTGCGAAATATTACGTGTTTCTGTACAATATGGAATTGCTTATCATCATTCAGGTAGTGACTTATGTTCTCTAATATTATGTAATTTTGGCAGTAGAAGAACTAGTATTCATCAATGATCTATAGGGTTATATCTACATATATCAAAGAGTTCCCCCTGTATATTCACGTTTTTTTTTTCATCGAAAAAAAAAAGTATAAGCGATAAGGCATTTGATTTCACGGCCCTTATTAGAAGTTGTACAGGGGGATCTTTCAGAGCGTGACAAACCACAGATCCATTTCTTTATATAAAAAAAAAAATTATCACATATTTATCACCCAGAAGATATATTTTTTATGATCAATTGATTATCATGCATAATTCAATATTATAATTATATTCAGGGTGATTCAGGTTTCAAGGCACAAACTGAAATGTGTAACAGATCTCATCATTTTAATAAAAAAAGTTCTTATAAACATGAGTCCGATCTTAATCAGTAGCGTAGCTACAAGAGGTCAAAGATTAATTATTTTTCCTATTAATTAAAATATCTTGCTCACTATTGAAGTTATCAATTTGAAATTTGGTAAGGTTGTTACTTCCTAGAAGATCATCATTTTAACCAATTTGAAGGTTTTCATAATCTACAGGGTGACACACTATTCTGTAGTACGCATCGGACATCATTTAGTTACCGTATTATGTGAATTGTTCAATTTAGCGGCTTTTATTGCTCTTTTTTTTCGAGAAACGAACCGTTTTCGGAATAAATCCGTTCTAAAACATATCAATTTTTTTTACGTTTCTCTTGAATTTTATTCTTGGAGAAAATTTAACCCACTTTAAAAACTAAGAAAACCTTGACCTCCTACCCTTTGTATCCCCGCTACTGATTCAGTTCGTAAGTTTAGTACATTTTATTGCATTTTCTACGAATTTCGTCCAATAATAAAATTTAAGCGCAACAATATAGACAATATAAACATGTTTTCAGAACGGATATGCTCATTTATTTCGAAAACGGTTGGTTTCTCGAAATAACTTGAGAGGTGAAAGAAGCCACTAAATTTAACGATATATTAAATTTCTCAACTAGAAGATGTCAGAAGCGTACTACAAAACAGTTTGTGGGTGATATGGAAGCCTCTACCCCTAAAAACACATTACCCTGTAGATTTTAAAAATGTATAAGATGCTCATAATGATGATCTTAGGAATTATCCACCACAGTAAATTTCTACTTGATATCTTCTAAAGTGAGCGAGATATATCAATAGAAAATGATGAATAAACTGACCCGTAGCTGACTGAAAAAGACGCCCCAAGCCATAGCGCCGTTATTAACTATCCGATGTTAAAAAACAAAAATGCGAATAAATGATTTATCAGATACTACAAGGTGACACATAGAATTTCTTTTTCCAATTTCAACTGTGATTACAGCGATTGTCAACTTTTTTTAAAGGGGATTGTATATTTTTCATTTTTTGAGTCATTGAAGGTTGAGTCCGTTTCTTATAAAAAGACATTATAATATCGAGAAAACGAATTATTGAAAACAAATGACTATATTAGGAAACTACAAACTGGAAGTATACAGAATGATCCATTTCTTGACGACAGAGCGTACATTTTTTTCAACTAATTTTGCGCAAGTCAACTTTTTATACATCATTGTAATCAGGAAAAAAATTTCTCAGGACAAAAAATGAAAAATATACAATCCCCTTTAAAAAGAAAATTTTATGAAAAGATTCATTTCTTGCCGACGGAGCATTTTTGTTTTTGTTTTTCATCGAGGTGGTTGGAATCCTTTATGGACACCATATGGGTCCAATCCCCCATATGATAGTGTGGGAGTCCCCTGACTCCAGGTATACCCACTAAACACTCCACCCCGTTTGTAGGCTCGTCTGACCGAAGTCACCGACGACACTTAGGCCTAGTGGCCCACTGTATCTTACCTATATGCCGTTATCAATTTTACCATATACGACTCATGGTGCTTATTAAGGGCAACTTCAATATGAAAGACCCTTTTCGTTCAGGTTCCTGAAGATTACTCTTCCGATCCCTGTTCTCGTCAACGAAGAAGGCCAAAAGTTTTCCTTCTCCTACGAGTGACGGGAGAAAGGGTTGGTCCAGCCCTGTGGTGCCCCCTGCACAGGGCTAAGGCTACTTACTCTGAGATGTCGCCCTGTTTCCCGTTAGCGACACCATACTTCGGTGTCATTCATCCATCACCACGGGTTCCCACATCTCGGATTAGGTTGCCAGAACCTCGTTGACCAGTCCTCGGCCACCTAGACAGACATAAGCAAATCGCCCCATCCCTGCCACAAATGTCCACAAATTGTCCCATCTGGCCCGGAGATAGCAAAGATGGTCCCAAAATGCTTCATCCGTCGAGCGGCCGCGGTCTGTTCTCCCCACACCACTTGATGGTGAGGTTGGGCTTGAAGGGGAGGGGGAAAAGATAAGTTGGCCAAGAAAGACCGATAGATAGATTGAAAAAGGAAGAGAGAAGAGGATATCACCCAAGACAAGTTGAAGTATGGTGAATATCCGGCTAGGGTACCTCGGGTTCACCATTCCCGTAGTCACAAGTTGTGAGCCCCTGAGGGGGTCGACGGAGCATACATTTTTTTTTCAACTAATTTTTTGCGTCAAAGTCAACTTGTTGAACACAGTTATATTCAGAAAATAATCTATATCAGAGAATAAATTGAAAAATATACAATGTCATTTGAAAAAAAAAAGTTCACTATCGCTGTCGTTAGAGTTGAAATTGGAAAAATGAATTGTTAGTGTCACCTCGTAGTATCTGAAGAATCATTTCATTAGATCTTCTGTTTTCAAAATTGGATCGGGACGTTTTTTTTGTCAGTCAGACTATATAATTTTCAAATATGTGACCTAAAACCGTTGTTAAGAAAATTTCTATTTTCATATCCTCATATTGGGTGTTCAACAAATGTAATTCCATGTTCGACGAGGTAAATAGCCAGGAAAGTTGTTGTTTCCTGTTGAATATTTCTATTGATATTATATACCTATATATGTATATACAGGGTCTCTATAAATGATCGTAGTGGCTGTTGACATTCTTTTTAAATTTGCCGCTTTCTACTAATGCTCTCAACAACATTGAAGCGACCAAAAAGAGAGAAAGTGATCATATAAAGGATCTTTTTTATATAGTACAACATTGGAGTTTGAAAAATAGCGGAACAATTCGAAAGTATTTATTAAAGAAGTAATAACCTACATCAGATGTTCAAAATGTTCTCGGCTGTGCTCCAAGCATTTCCGGACTAATGTGTTATTGAGGCTTGCAGCTCTTCAAGGTTATTATTGTCTCTAAAAGGCAAAAATCCAAAGGCGTCAAATCTGAAGAATGTGTTGGGAAAGAAGGATTAACTTCTCGACTTATCACGCGGTTGTCATAAAATTCTTGTAATTATGCTAAATTTGCACGTGTGGTGTGGAAAATAGCCAATTCGAATTTCTTCATCATCAAGTTGATGAATGAATGGTTCCAACATCACGTGTCAGTTCCTTTCACCATGGCATGGAAGAAAATCGGTTCATATATTCGCCTACAAGAAAGACCACAATTTTTTGAGAATTTTGTGGAGTTTCAATGAAATGGTGTTTCTCAGATCACCAGAAACTGAAATTCTGTGAGTTTACGTGTATCCAACAAATGAAACCAGGCCTCATCAAAAATTGTTAGGTCCAATAACTGGTCATCGTTGAGATTAATTTGGAACCAATGGCAGTACTCCAGACGACATGGGATATCTATTGGCAGAAGTTGCTGTAGTACTTTGGTCTTGTAAAGGTGCATATGCAATCTCTTCTTGAGCCCTTTATGGCACGTACTTAGTGGCACACCAGATTGAAAAGATAATCTCTTCAAAGACGTTTGGGGATTTTGCTCAACACGCGCCCTCAGGTTTTCGACAACTTCTTCCGATACTTGGGGCCTTCCTGTTGTTCCTTTTTATTGACGTTTCCAGTTTGGATGTAGGATATTTCGCCAGGTACTCATCCTTGCAGGCCACTACTGAGTTACCCCTTCCACCATTAATGAATGTGCCATTTCGGAAATAAGACATTACAATACATGTATTCTGCTCCGAGGAATAAGCCATGCCTCGTCAACACGACAATCACGAAGTAGGAAACAGAATCGTTTGAAATTTTTAACGAAAAACTGACAATTGTAAGTTTATCAGCTATGCCAGTATAATGGTTGATGTCAGAAATGAAATACGAATGTGTGATTCTCCATAAATGAAATGCAGCAAGTGAAGAAGATATTTCAACGGCTACTACGATGTTATGATCATTTATAGAAACCGTTCGTCGATGGATAACACTTTACATAATAATATACAGATTGTTTACCGAATCGTTTCATATAGGAGTATTAAGAAAGGATGGCATAATTAGAGTCGAGGATATTGGTATGTTATTCGAGAAATAAGCTTTGAATACTGAAAACATTCCAAAAGGGTTGGAATATTTGAAAGGAAGCACTAACTAAAGTCAATTAAATGATGGAAATGTTTTTTCCTATATCGATACGGATTTTTCAATTGACATTAAAAATTTATAAAAACAATATGCAAAGTGAACAATGCAGTAGTTTCTTGATGATCAAAAAAACAATATCTTGGTTTGAACTTCTCAGTGACAAAGCAGAATACGTAGATCTAACTAAGGCTTCAGAAGCAGAAGCAGTCTCTATTATTCATGACACCCATGGTACCGAGAAATAAGATCCTGTATTCTAGTGTGGAACCAACAATATTGACACATCAGTATAATCTTATTAATTGGAACATATCTGAAGGTTCTCATAATCCCAAGCATGTATTCTGTATTGAGATTGTATTCCTAATCACTGGATTATGGAGTCCTGTAATTTATTCATGAATAAATTGATTACTTATCCCTTATCTTATTTTTTGATTTCGACAAAATATAATGTCATGTATCTTTCCATGAACTCTCATCAATACTGTAGGAAGAAGTTATTCAATCATCTTGTTTGTTGGTG